GAGAAATATCGAGGCTGCACATGAGTAGACTTCGCGGTCTTAAAATCCCCACAATGCTTTGCGCACGGACCAATTTCCCCAAATCTGTGGCGGAAGATGTAAGGCGGGGCCTCTCATATGACGCACACCTGCACACTTGCTAGCGAGTTCCACACTTCGTTTTCCGAATGCCAGGAAGTATTCTTGACTCGCTTCTGAAGCAAGATGCTCGGCAGACATGTGCTACCAAGCAAGCGTACTCGCGATTGAGAAACACCCTCTGTCTCGAGCCAGTGAACTAGCGGGCCTTCTCGAGCAGTGATTCTCAAATGGGGGTAGGCCTACGCGGACCGCTGGGGGTACGTTGGGGTACTGCAAAAAGGTTAATAAAAAAAATACCATGCATGATTACAAAAATAATCATAGTACAATAAGTTAAATATAAAACACAATTTTCTATAAAATATTCCTAGAACCACCAAGTGTTCAAGATCCGTTCTTGTGCTTTTCTGGTGCTTAACTGGTTCTTCTCTGTTTTTACAAGTGTGTGGTCACGGTCTAGTCACTTTGCTCAGCGCTACAGCTTGTTACAACTTTTATTTGCCATACTCGCCATTAACTGTTATTGCTCAGGTTAATCTCGCCCCCCTCCGACGTAAGCGTGAAGTATTGGTACTTGCCGGGCAGCCGAGTGGGGCCAGCTAAGAACCGGTTTTCGGTACTGAGAGCCGGCTCCGCCGCGCTGGAAACAGGAAGAACCAGAGCTAAATCAGGCTGTAGCCGGGAACCATGCTGAGCGTGAAGCCAGTTGCAATAATAGGCCACGTTTACACGGAGACGAAAACAAAAACGAACCGATGTCGATATAAAAAAAGTCTGAATCGGCTCAAAAACGTGTCTGTCCACACGAGACCGCTCGACCCGCTGGATACGCTGTAGTACATATGCCGGGCCTGTAAGGCAAGGCAAGGCAAGGCAAGGCAAGGCAAGTTTATTTATATAGCACCTTTCAACAGAAGGTAATTCAAAGTGCTTTACAAAAATGGAAGACATTTTAAAAATGGCATTTAAAATCAGTCATTAAAAAGGAAAGATAATAAAATAAACATTAAAAGAAAAAATACATGGATAAAAGTTAAAAGTTACAGTGCAGTTTAAGATGTGAATAGTTCAATTAAAAGCAGCGGCAAAAAGAAAAGTCTTCAGCCTGGATTTAAAAGTAGTAAGAGTTGCAGCGGACCTGCAGGTTTCTGGGAGTTTGTTCCAGATATTCGGAGCATAATAACTGAATGCTGCTTTACCATGTTTAGTTCTGACTCTGGGGACAGAAAGTTGACCAGTCCCTGAAGACCTGAGGGTTCTGGATGGTTCATAATTTAGCAGTAGGTCAGACATGTATTTTGGGCCTAAACCATTCAAAGCTTTATAAACCAGCAACAATATTTTGAAATCTATTCTTTGCCACACAGGAAGCCAGTGTAAAGACTTCAGAACAGGAGTGATGTGATCCACTTTCTTAGTGTTAGTGAGGACTCGAGCAGCGGCGTTCTGAATTAGCTGCAGCTTTCTAATAGATTTTTTAGTGAGGCCTGTAAAGACACCATTGCAGTAGTCGAGTCTACTGAAGATAAAAGCATGGACAATGTAGCATGTAATACCCCTTTCACACCAACGGTGTTTCAGGGCCGGTTCGGTGCTGGTGCTTGAAAAGCACCGGGTTTTCCTGTTCACACCGCAGCGGAGCAGCGTCATAGCTCCGGAATCCGGTTCGTTTCGAGCACCAAAAAGTTGTCCGTCTAGAAGCAAGAACCGCATACGTCACGCTTACGTCGGAGGGGGGCGAGATTAACCTGAGCTAACACTTAAGGCGAGTACGGCAAATAAAAGTTGTAACAAGCAGTAGTGCTGAGCAAAGTGACTAGAACGCAACCACACACTTGTTAAAAAAAACACACTTTATAAAGTCAGGCAACACTAACCAGGCTTCGTGTGATTCTGTTTATTTGTACCTTACTTTGACCATCCGTTCGCTGTTATTGATCATTGTGGAGAGCAGGCAGACGTTTTGTTTGTTATTATAGCAGCTATCGGATGGAATCAATACATGGGCTGCACAGGTTGTCATGTCCGACTATCACAAGTAGAATCATAATGAAAAATACGTCGGTAAAAAGTGCCTGTAGAAAACTGCTTAGCAAGTAGTCAGTTTAGCTTCGGTTGCTATGCTAACATCACCCATGTTATACCAGAGAAACTTTCATAACAGCGTTGTGATGCCAAACAGCGTCAATTCAGACTGACACCAAACAGCGTCAATTTAGACTGACACACATTCACTTAAGGGGAACTGGGGATATGTATCAGCTGCTTGTGTGACAGTCAGACAGTGAATACTTTAGAGCCGTGTGAGCTAACCCGGAGCTAACGGGAGAATACACTCCCGTTGAAGAGCAGCCGGCCAGCACTGCAGCGGTCGGTAAATGCCGCTGAAACACATTAATAAACAATGAACCACGGCACTCTGGAGAAAAGTATAAGGTTGGAGAAGTCGTTATTTAATTTAATCTGGCTTCGTATGATTAAAAGCAACGCAGTCCCCGGCCCGTTGTTGTTGTGAGGTGAGCTCCGGCGTTGGGGAGAAACTCAGCGACGTAAACTGTGACGTCATGACGCAGCAGCGGCAGCACCAGTCGGGCTCTGAGCGGTGTGAAAAGAGCCGGCGCTAAACCGAAGAACCGGTTCTGAACCAGAAAAGCTCTAGCACGGAGCTTGAACCGGAGTTGCGTTGGTGTGAAAGGGGCATAAGTGGTGCTGTACTTCGCCACAAAATACACCGAAAGCAGCGAAGAAGTTTATTGTACCTCAAACATTAAAACAAATCCAGAGTTACGTTTTTCTGTACTTCCTCTAAAAAAAAAATGACAAGAGCTCTGTGGCTTCAGGCTCGATCGCCATTCAAATGACAGTGTTGTTTCCCCTAAAAGTGGGCGGGGCCGTAATTTTCACCCTGAAGTGACATAGATGTTACTCTCATCTATGGACATCGATCGCCAACTGCTATATTTAACCATATATCGAGCCCGCTCGTCGATTTCCAATGATTTAATGTAATTGTTTGCCTGTCTGGCCATTGTAATCGGGCTCTTTGAAGATCCAAAAATCCACGGTTTTCTTACATTTCTGATCGGATTGGCAAAAACTTCAGAATTTGAATTGACCGCCATTCAAATGACAGCTTTGTTTTCCCCCAAAAGTGGGCGGAGCCGTCATTTTTGCCCGGAAGTGACGCATGTGTTACTTTCATCTTTGCAATTATTTATAGGCCTATAGGCTTTTTCTATCAAAAATGTTCGGGGTCGGTCAGGGGGTACTTGGCTGAGAAAATGTTTCAAAGGGGACATTACTGAAAAAAGTTGGAGAAGCACTGTTCTAGAGTACCCTGGAACCGAGGGAAACTCTGAAAGAATACACCCATTGGCTACAAATCAATATATGATTGGTTGATCAAACTGTCAATCCAAACGTCCGCTTTCATTCAGTGCAACAGCCAGGGCATTCTATCAAGGATATAGAATACCTTGGTTGCAGTGGCGGCGCCAGGGTATGGCTGAGGTAGGCTACAGCCATACCAAGAAATGGCTTAGCCCCACCATAGCCCCACCATGAAAAGTGATGCAAATTCAATTAAATAATAAGCGAAATGCTAAATGTTGAGAACACGGATTGCGAAAATATACGGGTCGTGTCCACAGCACACAAACTGATCCTGCTGTAACAACAAGTGCACCTTACTGATGCAATATGGTTGAGACCATTCGGGCTTATGCTATAAGAGGGGTGCAAGGAATAGTCTAAGTAGTGGGGGAGTTTTATACACTAAAGGTGTGGAAATTCTCTGGCGTTATAATATCAGCGCGGCCGCGGTCAGATCAAAATGCCTCCGAATGCAATTTGAATAGACCTACAGCCAGAGCAACGAAACGTTGGATCTGCGTCATGCCTTATTGATTGAGATCAATCGAAACCGCCATTCAGTATCCCCATTGGATCTTCAACGTGTACTATCATACGTCACGTTCACAGTGATCCCTTTTTATTTACTACAAGACAAATGTGCCGTTTTATTTCATACAGTTCCATTTTGATTGAGACAGGGAAATAATCTAAACCTCACGCGTGGCGTTTCACTGTCAAGGGGGGTAATATAGCGTGTATGTAATTACATTGCAAATACTGACTTGAGCACCACCACTGTATGGGTTAGCCCTACCATAGATTACCCAACAAAAATGCTCTGGCGCCGCCACTGCTTGGTTGAAGGATATTCTACCCAGAGACCCAGAAAAATATCTGATTGGTTGCATTTTTTTTTTTACACAAAACCACTCAAATGCGTAGTGCTTGGCCGAAGAAAGACAAACAAATCAACGTAACACTGTAATATTACTGATCAACAACACAGATATGATTCTCATTTATTCATTTTATTTACATTTTATTTATATAGTTAAATAGATTTTTTGTTTTTCCTTATCTGAGTGTTCCAGGGTATTCTCTGAATACCTTGAAGGCCCTGACGGTTCACCACTGTGATCTGGTTAGGTATTAGTCAGGTGTATTACTTATAGCCTCTGAACTATAATGTTTCAACCTTTTAACTACCTAGAAGAAATACTTCAAATAAAAAGCTCAACAACTTTTGAACAGATGATTTCATACATACAAGTCTTCAGGTTTGATTAATTGCCAGCTCTAAGGGGAGAGAATTCCTGAGAGAGAGCTGTCTGCTTAAATATCGACTTTATCTAACAAATCGTCACAGCCTGTGTTAGTATCGATTATTCTCATTTACTGGGAGCATAGACTGTAGCCTTATAAATACAGCGAGAACGTGCCCCCAAACCTGATTGGCCGGAGCGAGGCCCACTCCTTCTGGCCACCAGCCAATCGCGTTGTCAGCGGACGGTTCCGGTCACTTCACCTCCTCCTCCTCCTCCTCCTCCTCCTCCTGCTCTTCTTCTCCTCATACACACTCTGCCCCACCGCTGCCCTGCCGACCTCCCCCTCACGAGGATTCGCGGCCGCTGTTGAGGAGAACAAACACTCACGCCGTGGATCTCAGAGAGCCCGAACCCCAACAGCTGGCAGTGTTCAACGTGTTTGAAGCGCCACAAGAAAAAGTATTCAGGATGGACCCGCTGGTGGCTGCGATAGACCAGGGCACGAGCTCCACACGGTTTCTGGTGAGTGATGTGTGCAGCCTTTGATGTTTACCCAAAGTTCACTGTATTGATGCAACTCCTCTGATTACTTAATGAGTCGACATTTGCTATCTTATTTGGCGACATAGCTGATCAAAAAACAACAACCACTTCGACTGAACGAACTTTTGCAAGTGGGAATGATAACTCCTGTAACAGCTACGTTTCTGGCTTCACGCGGCAAAGGTTATCCCCTTCAATATCTATTTGTTCTATATATATACAGTTTATGTGTGTGGTGTTAGCTACCGTTAGCTTTTGCATGTTTTCTCCTAAAGTAAAACAAAAACATGCTGAGAGTGAATATAAACATATAAGCCCGCTTGCGCCCCTACTGGACGAGAGACGCTAGTGTTATTAGCTCTGATGTTATCCTCAGTTTCTATGTGCAAACTTCTACAGTCTGGTGCTAACCTGTTATCACAGAGGACTATCCTCCTCCTTTAGGGCTCAACCTCTCATAAAGCATGTGCACTGGGTTCATAACTCTATTAGACCTGGGAATACATCATGTATGGGTTTTATAAAGAACATAACCAAGTTATATGTATTTATGCGCAAATATCAGGGCCATCAATTGATGCAGCAAAAAAGTGTACAAAAGTAACTTTATCAAATATTATCAAAACAGCAATGACAAAAATAGTGCAACAGAGATGAAGTTAGCCTTTTTTGCTTGGTATGTAGTGTAAATATAGTGCTGTTTTACATAAATACAAAGAGTGACGGGTGACCAGAAAATGTGCTCAAAGTTTAAAAAGTACTTATTCTTCAGAAAATTGGCCTCAAGATGTGATAGGACATCTGATTGTTAATATGTGTGCAAAAAGTAGCATTCTACAGCTGCAGACAAACAACGTTTGGATACAGAAATGATTGATGTTAAGAACTTGTTGTATTGTATTGTGTTCTTATACTTTTGTGTAACCATTAGCCAATAACCAACCAAGGTAACCCCCCCCCCCCACCTTATCACCTGAATCTCCTCCTAGAGCACCATTGTGTTCTTTTTAACCAAATCTCTCACATGCCCCTTTCACACCGGCGCTTTTCCAGCTCCTGCTGGGAGCTAGAGCCTGAAAAGCGCCGGTTTTTCCTGTTCACACCGCAGCGGCGGCGCGTCATAGCTCCGGAATGCGGTTCACTTCCAGCTCCAAAAAGTTGTCGGTCCAGAGGCAAGAGCTTCGGAGCTATGACGCGGCGTCGCTTACGTCGAGGCGTGCAGGAAACCTTACTTTGACCATCCGTTCGCTGTTATTGATCATTGTGGAGAGCAGGCAGACGTTTTGTTTGTTATTATAGCAGCTATCGGATGGAATCAATACATGGGCTGTACAGGTTGTCATGTCCGACTATCACAAGTAGAATCATAATGGAAAATACGCCGGTAAAAAGTGCCTGTAGAAAACGGCTTAGCAAGTAGTCAGTTTAGCTTCGGTTGCTATGCTAACATCACCCATGTTATACCAGAGAAACTTTCATAACAGCGTTGTGATGCCAAACAGCGTCAATTCAGACTGACACACATTCACTTAAGGGGAACTGGGGATATGTATCAGCTGCTTGTGTGACAGTCAGACAGTGAATACGTTAGAGCCGTGTGAGCTAACCCGGAGCTAACGGGAGAATACACTCGTGGAAGAGCAGCCAGCCAGCACTGCAGCGGTCGGTAAATGCCGCTGAAACACATTAATAAACAATGAACCACGGCACTCTGGAGAAAAGTATAAGGTTGGAGAAGTCGTTATTTAATTTAATCTGGCTTCGTATGATTAAAAGCAACACGATCGTCGACCCGACGCAGTCCCCAGCCCGTTGTTGTTGTGGGAGAAAATCTCTCGGCAGCTCTGGGCGGTGTGAACAGAGCGGGAGCTGAAAAGGGAAACCGGAGCTGAACCAGAAAAGCTCTCGCTAGGAGCTAGAAAGGGAAAAGCGCTGGTGTGAAAGCCGCATCAGAGGGGCGTGGGGAGTGGCTCCTTATTTTCATCTAAAGTAACAGACAGAGAATCTGCACTTTTGAAACAGGGCTGAAACAGAGGGGATTATGGGATGCTGCAATGATCTGTTTGGTGTTTCAGCCAATCAGAGATATGTTCTGTATATATCTGAGACCTGTGATATATTGATGAAAAACAGTATAATAGGGGACCTTTAAGTTGTAAGTTTATCACATGTTATTTAATGCAACAACTTCATCTGAAAAGTCACTAAAGCTAATAAATAATACATTCATTATTAAATGCAGTGAAGTAGAATAACAGTATTTTCCTTTTTAAATGTAGTGGGGTATAGAAGTATCAGGTAACACTACATTTAAATACTTAAGTAAGTTTTGACCTACATTTAGACAGCATGTATTACTCCAGTACAGTACTGGAGTAATACATGCACTGTACTTTAGTACACTCCACCACTGAATAGAAGACAAAGTGCTTCTTGTATGATTTAAACATGAAGTGCCAAATGAAAGAAATGCATTGCAGTGGAGGTGAAGTGATTTGCTACTATGTTGAATTGATGGTCCCCTCAGTAATGTCTTGTGGTAAAGACAGCATTGTGTGTTAAGACAATAATATAGTCAGTCAGTTTGGGTGTTTGCATTAAGAGTTTTGGTCATTGATATTCTGTTTTGAAAAGTGAGCCAAAGTTCATCACCACCTCTAACGAAACCTATCACTTATCCTGTTTCTTGAAATCCCACCATTTAGTTTCATACATTTATCAAAGAGACTCACCTGCTTAATGTTCCCATCCTTTTCCTGATTCTACTTGAATACTGAATACTGCAGACACTACTTTCAAAGTGGTCTTTTGCTTTGTTTTTCAGTTGAGTAATATGAGTCCTGTTTGGTTAACCATTGTGAACATAATTGGGCTTCCTCGAGTAGGTCAGCTGGAAGATGGAGACTTGGCACGACATATGGGCAGTTAACAAGTTCAACTTGCTGTTAGATCCAAAGGATGGACAGACAGGCTTTTTAATGGCTGAGTATATCTGGTAAACATTTCTGTGAAAATGATAGCTTTTTTCTTGGAGCCAACTGAGACCACTCACACCAACGCAACTCCGGTTCAAGCTCCGTGCTAGAGCTTTTCTGGTTCAGAACCGGTTCTTCGGTTTAGCGCCGGCTCTTTTCACACCGCTCAGAGCCCGACTGGTGCTGCCGCTGCTGCGTCATGACGTCACAGTTTACGTCGCTGAGTTTCTCCCCAACGCCGGAGCTCACCTCACAACAACGGGCCGGGGACTGCGTTGCTTTTAATCATACGAAGCCAGATTAAATTAAATAACGACTTCTCCAACCTTATACTTTTCTCCAGAGTGCCGTGGTTCATTGTTTATTAATGTGTTTCAGCGGCATTTACCGACCGCTGCAGTGCTGGCCGGCTGCTCTTCAACGGGAGTGTATTCTCCCGTTAGCTCCGGGTTAGCTCACACGGCTCTAAAGTATTCACTGTCTGACTGTCACACAAGCAGCTGATACATATCCCCAGTTCCCCTTAAGTGAATGTGTGTCAGTCTGAATTGACGCTGTTTGGTGTCAGTCTGAATTGACGCTGTTTGGCATCACAACGCTGTTATGAAAGTTTCTCTGGTATAACATGGGTGATGTTAGCATAGCAACCGAAGCTAAACTGACTACTTGCTAAGCAGTTTTCTACAGGCACTTTTTACCGACGTATTTTTCATTATGATTCTACTTGTGATAGTCGGACATGACAACCTGTGCAGCCCATGTATTGATTCCATCCGATAGCTGCTATAATAACAAACAAAACGTCTGCCTGCTCTCCACAATGATCAATAACAGCGAACGGATGGTCAAAGTAAGGTACAAATAAACAGAATCACACGAAGCCTGGTTAGTGTTGCCTGACTTTATAAAGTGTGTTTTTTTTAACAAGTGTGTGGTTGCGTTCTAGTCACTTTGCTCAGCACTACTGCTTGTTACAACTTGTATTTGCCGTACTCGCCTTAACTGTTAGCTCAGGTTAATCTCGCCCCCCTCCGACGTAAGCGTGACGTATGCGGTTCTTGCTTCTAGACGGACAACTTTTTGGTGCTCGAAACGAACCGGATTCCGGAGCTATGACGCTGCTCCGCTGCGGTGTGAACAGGAAAACCCGGTGCTTTTCAAGCACCAGCACCGAACCGGCCCTGAAACACCGTCGGTGTGAAAGGGGTATCTGGGGACTTTTGTTTGGCTGGTGTCTGGTCCTAAATTCAAAACAATAGATCAGAAGCTGATGAATCTTTGGCGAACATGTAGAGTTATATAAATACCAGGACTAGCTATTCTTATCTTAGAAGAGACAGAAAAAAGTGTTATTTGTGAGCAATGCTTAGGAGAACAATATTTTTAACCATAATCTATACAGAAATACACAGATGCCTGATTTAAAATGTTAACCCACCCAACCCTTTTCCTTGCTGGGTAATATATCTCAAACCTATGTGGTAAAGAATTAAGTCCACTGCAAACCAGTACCATAACATCCCCCTGAATATGTTTTTGTGTCTAGTTACCTGTTCTTCCTGAAGTGCATTGCACTGTTTGTGAGCTCCCTGACTTAATGCCGTTCAATGACACAGGTCATTTAGACCAGAAGTGAAGGTTAAACCTATCAGGTTGTCTGTAAGGTTGATCTCAGGACACAAGCGACGATAAGGGAACACGTCTCCGGTCAAAGAAGATAATAATTAAGCCCTTGGCAATGTTTAAATAAATCCTCACAACATAACTGAGCCTTACCTCCAACATCCACAAAGTTCATATATTTGTGCACCTTCCTAACGTAGTTTCATAACGATGATTTTGATTGCTTTGAGCCAAAGTGTATGCTTGAGGCAACACGTTATTATTGGATCAACAGTCACAGACCCATGACCGTAGATGTCAGTCCCACTATAACCTTTCCATTGTCCATTTTTAAGAAGGGGGGAGAATGTTCCTGTTTGCGGTCCAACTGCGTGACCTCGACAGAATGTTATCGCTCTCCTCTGAGTGTCAAAGGGCTCTGCTTGTTGTGTGTCTGTCCGGTCTGTGCAGCTGTGAGAGGATCATCAAGTGCAACATGTTACAAGCTGGTGGCTGGTCAAAAAGTCCTGTCAGTCATCATCAGTTTTATCACTGGGAAATTAAAACATTCTGTACCTCTTCCAGTCCTGTGTTGTGCCAAATTATGTGTTCCCTTATAATTAAGAGAATGTTTCCCAGGCATACCCCTGTGTCCTCTGTTTTATGTGCATCCTTGGTCTCTTATGAGTTTAACTTCTCCACAGGTGTTCAACGCCAAAACCGCAGAGCTGATGAGTCAACACCAAGTAGAGATCAAGCAGAGTTTCCCCAAGGAGGGGTGAGTGCGTCAACTGTTTCTCAATGATTAACACACTTCCAACAGACCATGGTGACTGTCAAAGTTCTTCTTTTATATGACCCACAGTCCAACTCTAAAGACATTTTACAGTTCACTAAAATGTGAATTGGTTCTACTAAAACAATTATACAATTATCATATACTACTTCACATTCAAATGGTGGAATTTTTGCTTCTAAGAGAAACTTAAAATCAAATTTAAACCATATTCTTCTGGTTCAACTGGTTTTACAAAATATTAAAAGTATGAATAGTCACTCAGTATTATAGCTGTTTGCCTAACATCCAAATACAGAAAGTCTTCCAGAAATGCAAAGAACTCCCTAACTAAATGTCCAAATACATATTTAAAGATAACGTTTTAAATCCATTCTGCATTCAACAAAAGGGCTGCCGAATGTAACCACTCTGCTTTTCCCTAACTGTTTACTCGGTTTCTTAGGTTACTATTTAGCTGCGTTCAGATCATTCTCTGACTTTATTTGATGTGTGTAACATAATTGAGTCTAAGGCTTGGTTGATATCCATTGATATGGTGCTTTCTACTCTCATTAAATGTGAGAGAAGATGAACTTCCTGTTGTGTAAATGTTAGATATGTTGCATGAATGCACATCCTGAAACTACAAGGATCAGCTGAGGTCATGTTGCATGGTTACAGCTGTTTGCCAAAAACTACTTTTTGAACCATTCTAAAATAAACTGGGCGATAGGATTTACGAATACAATCTAAGTATAATTAGGCTATGCCTCTATAAACATATTTTACATTTTCTCTCAAGTACCGTACATTTCATATATAAAATAAGTGTTTGATTCAACCCTTTTAATGTGCATGATCATATCAGTATAATACCCAATATACACAGTTACTCTAACACAACACGGGTTTGTTTGACCTTATCTTACGGAGTCTGGCATCTTCTATTACCATTTCTGAACCTACACTATACAGAGATGACAAAGGACCCTGGGGCTTCATTTATTTTGCTCTCTTTAGACTCTTTACAGGTTCCCTGGTCTCAAGATACAAAAACCTCAAGCCTCATATGTACATCCATGTTCACACACTCAGCCACCTGTAGGTGTGTCTGTGAGAGGGAATGAGCCGCAGGAGAGTGACACCCAAAGCAAGCCTCTTGTTAACAAACGATGAGACATTTTGTACTTAGTGGTGGCAATATAGTCTTTCACTAGAGCCTGAGGAAGCCACAATACATTGAGTATATACTGTGTAACCCTATTATAGAAATGCCCTCTATGTCAGAGGGCTACAAACAGTTTAAAGGGGGGCTCAGTAAATGGAAGGGAAAAGAGCCTTAGTATCTGTGATTTGGTCAAAGAGACAGTTGAGAAAGAGAGTCGTTTGGGGGTTTTGTACTGTTTGTTCCACAGTCAGAAACTACAAAATATCTTCGGACAGACTCGTTTTATGTATTTGGTATAGTCTGAAGTTCAGCCAAACTATAATATTAGTCTATCTTGGCTCAGACTGTCTATGTGATCAAATTACCATACTCGTGATTCAATAGTTATCCAGGAATAGAATCGGCACAGTAGAGCAGGCATAGAAACAGCCACACACAACTATGCTGTATGCTGATGACTTTGTTTTCATATTTGTATTTTTCTGGAATAAATACAAACCAAGGGCTCTGTGTGTGTCAACATGCCTGTCTCTGTGTCTGTACACAGCTGGGTGGAGGAGGACCCCAAAGAGATCATGCAGTCGATCTATGAGTGCATGGAGAGGACATGTGAGAAACTCCGCCTGCTCAACATCGACATCTCCAACATTAAAGGTGTGCACAGTGATGCTGAGCTGTGGGGGCAGACGTGGTAACCACCCCTATAGAAGGGGAGAGCTGAAACACAGAGGAATGGGTGGAGTTGGGAGTTTATTGAGATTGATGTTGTTTCTGTTTTCTCAGCTTTGGGGGTGGCCAATCAGAGAGAGACGACCCTGGTTTGGGACAAAGAGACAGGAGAGCCTCTCTACAACGCCATTGGTGGGTGCACTATACATCTGAATGTACACGTATCATTGCCCAATATTCTTATTAACATAGACATTCAATTGACCTTCCTGTAGTCCTCCGTTGGAATAAGGTTATCTAGATGTCACACAAAACATGGATGGTTACATACTAGGTTCTTTGCAAGAAATATGAATGTTCACTACTTTCATCGAAATATTGTTATATTTAAATGTTTAGCATTTGTTGTCATTACTTGCTACCATTATACAAATGTTTTAAATGGTTTCTAAACAGAATCCTAAACAATGACATATAATAATAATAATAATAAATTCTATTTATATAGCGCTTTTCTAAGACCCAAAGACGCTTTACATTTGGGGAAGGGTAGACAGACAAGGACAGGCAACAAAACAAAACAGAGAAAAAAAAAAACAGAAAGCAGTCAGGAGGAAGTGGGGGGTGGGGGGGGGGGCTTATGGGTATACAGATTTGAAGAGATGGGATTCACCAAAAACCAAACTAGTTTTTCAGTGACCAAATAAACAGCAATGTTCAGATCAATTACTTATTTATGTTTTAAATAAAGGTGAATGTATTCTTGTATTAATATCACTCTATAACCATAATACGTTACATAGTATCTGTTCATTTTGGCTGTCTTTTCAAACTAAAATGGTCCTGACGTCCTCTACAGTGGACATACTGTAACGTTTAAAAATCAAATTAAATTAAAAAAGTCTAAATTGCAAGATGTTTTTTTAACCCTAAATAGGTAGGAAATACAAAATAAAGAAGATTGGAAAACATATTTTTTCCTCAGTTACCAGATATACCAGTCCATGATTATCCACCACAATATGTTGCTCTGATCTTAACTTTAGTCAAATAATTACATTTTTTGTTTTTTAAACTCAGAAATGTGATTTCATTTTGTATAAAGGAGGTCAATTGACCATATATCCCAAAACGAAAAGTAAAATGTGTGGAAATTATTTAAAATGAAGTTGTCTAGAAGAAGAAACACAGAATTGTGCAAAATTCACTTGTTACAACATTTTGGGCTTCACACTTGTGAAGTGTCACTGTAAACATTCAGTTATTTGATTTGTAACATCTTCAGTTGAGCAAACAAGAGATGATGTCATCTGGGAATTGGCCCAGCACATGACTAGGTTGCATCAGATGGTAGTGGACTACGTCATGTCTGCCCCTGCCCCCTGAGGGCCTTATATTACTATCAGAGAGAGCTTTCATTGTAACACCTCAGATCCATTTTGAGAGGATTGTTTACATGCAAGCTGTTCAGAATTCCTATTGGCTGATATTTCAATGGAATGTGAGTGATGTGATGGGGAGAGATTACAATGCTCTATTATCTAGCCCAAAGACACCATGTGTACACTTGTGAGTGATTATGACATATTTTAAATGATTGGTTCAGACAGAGGGTGAAAAGAGGTGCTGCAGCACAGGCAGTATGAGAAAAATAAAGAGCTTTTTGAACATTAAAGCATGGAGACATGTCCCAGGAGAGACACATACTGATATGAACCTGGAAATGAGCAGAATATGTCCTCTTCAGAACCCACTGGAAAGTTTGGTTCTGTAGTGAGATGCATTTACTGTTGGAATAACAACAATGTTTTTATATCGTCATTCATTTGACTGATGAATTACTGTCATTTGCTCCTGGTCTCAGTATTCAGATTGAGGTCAACATTATTACAAGAAATGTTACAAAATTGTTGCTCAAAAATAGGTTTCCTTTATGTACTTCCTCTAATATTTGCCTTTTAATGAAAGTTCACCCCTTAACTACTTTCAAATTCTACACATTTTAAACTCAAAGGTAAGAAAATCTATTTTGAAGGTTTCAGGGTTGCAGAAGAAAGCTGTGAAATGTCATCATTTATTTAGTAAATGGACAACAGCGGTCTAATTGAGATATTTCAAGGTGTATATGTAAGCCCTCCTCCTCTTTGCCTATAGTTTGGCTGGACCTGCGCACACAGTCTACCGTGGAGAGTCTCATCAACAAGTCTCCAGGCAAAAACAAGAACCACCTCAAGGTGAGTGTGGGTAAGAAAGAACTTTGGATGGTTCTCCCTTTTGATTTTCTTCTGATTGAATATGGTACAGTATTTATTCTAAACCAAGACTCTGACTCTCTCCAGCACAAGACAGGCCTTCCCATCAGCACCTACTTCAGCGCAGTGAAGCTCCGCTGGCTGCTGGACAACGTCGAGGAAGTGCAGCAAGCGGTGCTGAGTCAGCGTGCCATGTTTGGAACAGTGGACTCCTGGATCATCTGGGTAAGCAACTATATTTATTTGTACCTGATTAGCTGCACCTTTTATAAAGTCTGTTTAAGTCCAGAATATGTTGTTTCCTATGTGAGAAGAGAAACCCTTTCTCTTGACATCGCAGAGGCTGTTCTATAACGAGATACAGAGAGAAACAAATAAAGAATCTCCAGCCCCACATACAACATGTGATAATTCCAGTGTGGTTTTCCTCAGTGCCTGACGGGGGGTAACAACGGGGGGGTCCACTGCACAGACGTCTCAAACGCCAGCCGCACCATGCTCTTCAACATCCACAGCATGGACTGGGATCCTGAGCTCTGCAGGTAAACACACAGGAATGGGACCCATTCAACATATCGCTGTCCAAATACAGACTGTACTGCAGACCTGCTCAATAAAAACCCTGTCTGTCATGTTTGGTCCACTATAAACATGCATCTTCACCACTGATTGCCGTGGTGCTGCTTTTAGGTACTTTGATGTCCCGATGGAAATCCTCCCCACTGTCAGAAGCTCCTCTGAAATCTACGGCTGGATGGTAAGCTCAGTTAAGCTTCAGTTAGACCGTCTGTGTTTTGACACGATACTGGATGCATCCTGGCACTTTTATCCAAGGTGATCTACATGCACATTTTATAATGTAGAAACATTGGGGGGGGTTAGGTTTTTTGCCAGAATCAGACCATTGAGCCTCCAAATGAGTTTCCCCCTGAGCCACAGCAGCTCTAAATATTTAGTTGTTTCTAAATGAATCTGTTCATGCCTGTAATTACTTAATGTAACTCTATCCCTTTTCCACATTTAAGTATGTGCTCATCTATTCATTTACGTATTAGTTACTGAAACTAACACTTGACCATCATGGTGGCAAGTTGGTGCTGTGTCCCCAGGATAAATGGATGGAAAATGGCTGAACCACAGCCTCTCTGGAAGTTAGCGTAGGGAATGAACTTGCACGTATATTATTAGACTTTTAGATCCTTTGATAACACATGAAAGCTCACCATTTCTCCTTTTGCAACCAAAACAGAACAGGTCACTGCCATTGATGAAAGTAATTCAACAGTACCGATACAAACATACTTCTCCTCTGATAGCACTCGTATAGCCACAGCACTACCCTAATGACGTGAAAAGCCCACAACTTGAAGGCATTTGTTTCTTCAGTATATGGCAGTATGCAGATGCTGTCTGGTTCTGTTTTAGAATCATTGCTACACTAATCATAAGTGGAAATGCTCAGCCTTGGCAATGACATCTTATTTCAATCTTGATATGACTTGTAGCATATCAAAGAAAATTCACGACGTGATGCATCGGCCTCATGAAGTATTTTAATCACTGTAGTGCCCATATAAGTTAATAAGATGCAACGTGTTCTTCCACAGAAGTGTGTGTGTGTGTGTGTGTGTGTGTGTGTGTGTGTGTGTGTGTGTGTGTGTGTGTGTGTGTGTGTGTGTGTGTGTGTGTGTGTGTGTGTGTGTGTGTGTGTGTGTGTGTGTGTGTGTGTGTGTGTGTGTGTGTGTGTGTGTGTGTGTGTGTGTGTGTGTGTGTGTGTGTGTGTGTGTGTGTGTGTGTGTGTGTGTGTGTGTGTGTGTGTGTGTGTGTGTGTGTGTGTGTGTGTGTGTGTGTGTGTGTGTGTGTGTGTGTGTGTGTGTGTGTGTGTGTGTGTGTGTGTGTGTGTGTGTGTGTGTGTGTGTGTGTGTGTGTGTGTGTGTGTGATTATTTGTCTGTGCTTGTATCTTATCTCTTGACCACAACCTGGTTTTTCATTTTTTATGCAACACACCCTTTGCCCTGCAGTCCACAGTTTGTTTTTCACAGTCTTTCATTTAAAGGTAGGGTAGGTAAGAATGGAGGAACCAGCTTGAGTGTGCTAGAATTTGAAAATACACAACTGGAAAAAATCTGCCCCTTGCTTCAGACTTCCTTACAGAGCCCCTCCTCCAACACACACGAACGCGCACATGACCAATGAGGGCACGAGATAAGTTTGTGCACGAGATGGAAGGCTCTCACAGGCAGGTAGGCCATCCAATCATCTGCCATGGGCCGTGGCAGATGATTGGTCGTACTTTTTACAGCGCCACGGCTTCCACAGATGAAATGTTTTTATGTATTTATTGTCAAAGCATTGAATGTATTCATTGCTATCGGGATGTTAAGAGCAGTCCATGGAATATAACATGAAGTGTTTCTGAAGTGAATTACCTACCCTACCTTTAACTCAGAATACAGTTATTTACTGTACTTTTCCCACATCCTCTTAAACCTACCTTTGACATAATAGGCTACTAGAAGGTGGCCCTAGTTAGAAAAGAGACAGCTTCATTGGCTGATACTACTCCTGCTTCCCTTCACAGTATTATCCTGATCCTTCGCCACAGCACATTGTGTAAAATCTACGGCTGTGTCGCACTGATTCAGTTGCAATATACTGTGTATATATACAGTATATCTATATAATAAGGCATTTCTGGCAACTGGCAGGCCATCTAAACTGACATGGACAGAAAAGATTGGTATGAGTTGAAACCAGCTCATCTGCAGATCAATTCCATACACGATGATCCATTTAAATTAGCCCTGGTGGAGATGAATTCATCTCCTATTTTGTCACCATCTTGACTCTAAGGGAGGAACCATTAAGGCACACTCAGCTGTTCTTTGTGGGGAGGGGAGAGGGAGACAGGCCTGGTGGAGATCCTACTGCACTGAGCGACCGTTTCTCATTTTTTATTTTGGATGGTAGCGTTCTTGGCTACAAATGGGTATTTTCCTATCTCAGGTGTTGGATTGTCATGTTGCCCCTTCATGTTGATTAAAATGTTTCGGATGCAAACACAGTGCACTATTTACTCTTGTTTTGTAACTGGATTACATAACAGTTGGCATTTTCCTGCAATCATTTATTTGACCTCTGAACATGTGTGTGTTTGTTTTCCTGCCAGAAATCCGGCTCTCTTGCAGGGGTTCCAATCTCTGGGGTAAGAACGTACATGTCATGTTACTTGCTTACTTACTTACTTACTACTTAATAAAGTTACATTCACCATATTTTTAGACATGTGATTCTTATTTTTCCAGTAATGTATCTATTAAACAGCCTTTTTGCTTTCAGTTGTAAAATCTCCTACCCAGTTCACATCTTTATAATGTCACAACTCTTTAATAACCTTGTTTAAGGCCTCCTTTTCTAATGATTTTTGTTAAAGAAAAAAGGGCAGCATCCACCCAGCTCCATTTTTCGAGGGAAATCTTGACTTAGTCTGTTTTGGAGTGTAAGACCCTGTGTGTTTTGGGGGGTTGTACACCCTTGTATCTGTGTGTGCATATTAGTGTAATCAGTAGAGGATTATCATTTCTTTGTGACTGTGTCCCTCAGTGTCTTGGCGACCAGTCGGCTGCCCTGGTTGGTCAGATGTGCTTCAGGGAAGGCCAGTCCAAAAACACGTAAGCCCTCCACTGTTTTATTTATTACACCTCGTTGCTAAAGATAGCATACTACTATTGTGTTTGACAACATTTCATAACAATAAAGATGCTTTTAAAACGTTATCTGTGTTGACCACTGTATTTGAATGGAAAGCAGATAAAGCTTGATTTAAGATGAACTAGATTACATCACATACTATCTTGCATGCATATCTAAGCATGCTGATTGGTTGACTGAAGGTGCTGCAGCCCTCTACTGAAGGATGTTCAGACAGTCCCAATAAGAGCACATTCATTGGGAACTATTGGCAACTCTTTTGTTGCTAGGTCATGTGGGGAAAGAAAGTCACCGAAGAGCTCATAATGTTTCCAAATCTATCAAGAAACATAATGAAATATACATATGGGAAGTTGGTCAAAATAGCTAAAGCATTTCACATTTTAGAAAATGGGAAAATAGGGAGCTATTATTCCAAACGTATTTCTTTCAGGTGCAGCTGCTCAATGACATTAATAAGTTAACAAATGGTGAAGTTATAAAAACATTACACAAATATGAATAGGAGGTTTATAAAGATCACATAAGAGTAGAAAAAACAATGACCAGGTAACGTGATGATGGTGTGTTTAATCCAGCGAGTTTAGTATGTATGAAAACATGGACATCAGAATAATATACATTCTAGATCTGATCATTACACAGTGTTGTCTTTGTTAATAAAGCAACAAAATATAATGTCATATAGGAAAACATCATCTTTTAATCACCTTCTTCAAACCTTGAGAACTATGATTCTCCAACATTCAGTACCTTATAAGTGAGGGATGTTATTTTCTCTTTGAGTTACTGATGACATGCATCAGGACTCTCATCTCTCTGTTTCTCCGTCATGGTTCTGTGAAGGTATGGGACCGGCTGCTTCATGCTCAGAAACACAGGGACCAAGGTAAGATACTGTGTCCAAGAATACATGACCTTACCTTCTTGCCTACTGTGCCCTATGTTCCTTTGCTTTACACTTTGCATGCGTTTCCATGTCGTTCTGTTAGCCTCTGATGTCGGACCACGGCCTGCTGACCACAGTTGCCTACAAACTGGGAAAAGACGAGCCTGCCTGCTATGCCCTCGAGGTGTGTGAAGCTTTTATGTTTTATTTTCAACTACGTTTTATTTCTAAATCCGCCTCCAGATCGAAAATGAAGTCCTCAATGGTGCACCCTGCTGTGAAATGTTCTACCTGCCTCTTGTGTGATTTGGGTCTGATGTTTGTCTTTGTTCCTCCCAGGGTTCTGTAGCCATCGCCGGGGCAGTGGTGCGCTGGCTGAAGGACAACCTGGGCATCGTGCAGTCTTCCTCAGAGATCGGTACAGCTTACCTGTGACATTTGACCCATTCATGAACAAATCTGTCTGTATTCACACATGGGCTCTATAAAGCGTTTCATACATGTAAATGCTTACATATAGAACCTTTAATTATATAATGGGATTGACTAACAACTCTTTCTCTTTCTGTTCTCTCTCAGAGAAGCTAGCAGCTGCAGCCGGCACGTCTCACGGCTGTTACTTTGTGCCCGCCTTCTCCGGACTCTACGCCCCCTACTGGGAGCCCAGTGCACGAGGGTAAGGCAGGCGCATGTTTAACTGTTGAGCTATCAAATGTAATTTCACACTGAACTGTGGAGACAAGTTATAATGTGATACTGTGATTTCTTAGTTTCTTCTCAAGGGACTCGTAAGCAACGTAAAAGCATAACATTACGTATTAGTTGATCCTAACCCTAATTTAGCCCCTTGATCATCAACATTAAAGTTTGCCTATAACATATTCCCTTTGATTGTTTTCCAGAATCATCTGTGGGCTCACTCAGTTCACCAACAGGAACCACTTGGCTTTTGCTGCCCTCGAGGCCGTCTGCTTTCAGACCAGAGAGGTGAGCAGCGTCTCCTCATGCTCCCTCCTGTACCCAAACACACACCTATTCCCAACATCAGGGAAAAGCAAGAAACTTATTTAAACATATTATATTGTAATGTATTCCTATCCATCCATACATACATACAGAACAACAAAGGGTAAGAAAGCACGACATTTATTTCAGCGACAGTGACCATCCTTCAGGTTTTAAAGGTGTGTGAATGGTATTGGCTGCAGTTGTGTTAACGTGACAGCCCTGTGTGTCTCAGATCCTGGATGCGATGAACCAGGACAGCGGCGTCCCTCTGACCGAGCTGCAGGTGGACGGAGGCATGACCTCCAACAGACTCCTGATGCAGCTGCAGGCCGATATCCTCTGCATCCCCGTAGGTGAGAGGACTCACAACTCACACATGCACTACAAACAATAAACACGTGTTTCTGAATCTCTGAACAAAGGGTCAACAGTAATAATAATACATTACATTGCATTTAACTGATGCTGTTATCCAAAGCGACTTACAATAAGATATAATACATGATACTTGTATAGCGCTTTTCTAGACACTCAAAGACGCTTTGACAGAGAATAAAAAACAACTAAGAAAAATACAAAAAGAGATCAACAAAACAGAAAATAGGGGGGGGGGGTGGTCAGTGGTTGAATGCAGTGTTGAACAGGTGGGTTTTGAAGAAGAATCTCTGATGGATTGGGGTAGTGAGTTCCAGAGGGTGGGTGCAGCAACGGAGAAGGCTCTGCCGCCCCAGGACTTGAGGTTGGTCCGGGTGGGGGGGGGGACAGGATGTTGGCAGCAGCAGAGCGGAGGGAGCGAGTGGGAGTGTGTCTGTGGAGGAGGTCAGTCAGGTAGGATGGGGCCAGGTTATGGAGGGCTTTGTACTGAGTTCTCTGGGGGGTGGGGAGCCAGTGGAGCTTGATGAGGACGGGGGTGATGTGTTCACGGATTCGGGTGTGGGTGAGTAGGCGGGCGGCGGAGTTCTGGATGTATTGAAGTTTGTTGAGGATTTTTGCAGGTGAACCATAGAGGAGGCTGTTGCAATAGTCCAGACGGGAGGTGATGAAGGCGTGGATCAGGGTTTCTGCGGCAGTGGGGGAGAGGGAAGGACGTAGAGGCTGTCTTTGTGATCTGTTTGATGTATTTGTTGAAGGAGAGGGTTTGGTCAAATATGATGCCTAGGTTCCGGATGTGAGGGGAGGTTTGAACTGGGAAGCCGTCTATGTTGAGGGTGAAGTTATGGATAGGTGTGGTGAGCTTTTTTGGTCCAATGATTATTATCTCAGATTTCTCGCAGTTGAGTTTCAGGAAGTTGAGTTGGAGCCAGGATTTGATTTCAGTGATGCAGTTTGTCAGGATGGAGTGGGTAGCAGCGGAGATGGACTTGGTGGAGATGAGAAGCTGGATGTCGTGGGCAAAGCAGTGGAATTGAAGTCCATGACAGCGGATTAAGTGACCAAGGGGAAGCAGGTAGAGGATGAAGAGGAGGGGGCCGAGAACCGAACCTTGGGAGACACCTTGGGGGGGGGGGGGAGCGGGGGGGGATTGGTGGGGGATTTGCAGTTATTGATGTAGATGAACTGGTTTCTGTCAGAGAGGTATGATGTGAACCAAGAGAGGGCAGTGCCGGTGATGTTGAAGGTGGTTTCAAGACGGGTGAGGAGGATGGAGTGATTGATGGTGTCGAAGGCAGCGCTAAGGTCAAGGAGGAAGAGGATGTTGAGGTTACTGGCGTCGGAGGAGAGGAGAAGGTCATTTGTGATTTTGAGGAGTGCGGTTTCGGTACGGTGGTTTGAGCGGAATCCAGATTGAAAAGTTTCATAGAGGTTATTGGTAGAGAGGTGATGCTTGAGTTGTGATGCTACAGCGCGTTCCAGAACCTTTGGCAGAAAGGGTAGGTTTGAGATTGGTCTGAAGTTATTAGGGTTGTCAGGGTTGAGTCCGGGTTTTTTCAGAATAGGGGTGATGGCAGCTATTTTGAGGGATGGTGGGACGGTGCCAGAAGACAAGTCGTTGATTGTTGCAGTGATGAGAGAACAGAGAGTAGGAAGGCAGGCCTTAACAAAGCTGGAGGGGATGGGGTCCAGGGTGCAGGTGGCAGTTTTCATCCCTGTGAGGAGATCAGAGAGGTCAGTAGGGGGGGCAGGTGGCTTGAGGGGGAGCAGGTGTGGTAGTGGTTAAGCTACTGTAAATGTTGTCTATTTAGCTTTGAGAGCTACATTTGTCGACTGTGAATGACTGAGAGGTGGTGTCCAGGGGGCTGAGGAGTTTGTTTATTTTGGAGAAGAGTGTTTTGGGGTTGGAGTGGATTAGCTGAGAGTAGTAGGTGGTGCGGGCATGGGAGAGGGCATCTTTGTATTGCTGTAGGTCGTCCTTGTAGGTTTGAGAATGAATCGTGAGACCTGTTTCATTGCGGAGTCTTTCAAGTTGCCGGGCACGGGTTTTCATCAGACGGAGTTCGAGGGTGAACCAGGGAGCAGAGTGGGTGAAGGAAACTGTTTTGGTTTTTATGGGTGCAATGCAATAGTAGGTTGCATTGTGGGTAATGTAGACTCCAGGTTTTGACAAGAAAGAATGTGTGGCTGTAAAAGAGGCTCTGTTGGAACTGGCTTACTAAGTTACGTTAAACTAAGTATGTGGTAAATTGAGTATGTATTATTAACACATATGTGGATGACGTGTCAGTGAGAAATGTCCGGGTGTTTACTAGTCAACATTTGAGCTGTGAGCTTACAAAATAAACTGCCTGAAATCCAATGCAGCCCACCAGACTGTCCGATAGTGGACTGAAAGGCAGACTGTTTTTTTTACAAATGATGGTGCAAAACGATTAGGAGGAGCTCACATTTGATAATGAACAGTAGAATATATTGACTTAACACAAATAGTTCTGTTTTTTCAAATTCATTAAAATAGTACGAGAAAATATGAAATTGAAGGTGAAATGTTGATGGTGCTTCTGTGAAAAACTTTAAATGAACTGTAGCTCGGACCGGTAATGTCATGACAATGCAGTCACATGATCGATTCAGTCGTGTTGTTACTGAGTGAACTTCAGTGTGAGAAGTGTGATGGTAACGGCAACAATTGAATGTGTAGTATGAAGGGCATACATATTGAGTATGTGGTATGTGGTATGCAGTATGTACATATGCACTGCCCCTTTCTCTGGTTCAGCTGCATGGATTGAAATGGTTTAGCTGTCCCTATATAACTGCATTAAAAGAAAAGGTGAATCAGTAGAACACTGGCAGGACCAACAGCTTCACCAAAGTTCTCTCTAACAACAGCTCTAAAGTTTCTCAAAGTGTTTTGTCACTGAGTAACCAATGATTGAACCTGGACTTTAAACCCTCTGTCCTCTGACTTTTGTCCCAGTTCAAAGGAAACACACACAATCACACACAGATGTTGACTTCAATGCTGTAGATTAGGGTAAGATAACTGATGTGTACTTAGCGGTGTACACAAATGACATTATTAGTTTCAACTGAATTGGCATGACAACGTCCAGCCTACTCATAGCAGGATACATCTTACCACTTTTCTATCTTGGATCATGATTAAAATGCTCATTGGAAGATTGCATTATTAAAAATAAACTCGGGTATTTAAAACATTGTTCCTCCTTAAATATCTGCCCCATGAAAACATTTTAGCGTTTATATAAATGAAATGATTAACTTGTCTAGTTCGTAGAATGAATGGATATGACTGTACCTAACTGAAAACATGTCTCCTGTGTGTCTGGCTCATGTTGTTCCAGTGCGACCCACCATGTCAGAGACCACCGCTCTGGGGGCAGCCATGGCAGCTGGGGCAGCAGAGGGGGTGGGGGTGTGGAGCCTGAGCCCGAGTCGTCTGCCACACGTCACATCTGAGAAATATGAACCTCAGATCAACCCTGATGGTAAGGAGGAAAAACTGGAGGAAATGTGTGAGGAACTCGATACACAGCATGTGACTCTCATAGGGGTTCACATCACTGCTGCCATCTAGTGGATGTTACCATCATGACGGTGTGTCTTTTACAAATCTGCATCTAATCTGACCCTGGTGTATGTGTCGTCTTCACAAACAGAGAGCGAGTTCCGCTACGCTCGCTGGAAGAAAGCCGTCCAGAGATCCATGAACTGGGAGACCAACGAGCCCTGCTGCAATACCAAGGGTACACATCTGAAATATTTGTCCTATAACAAAACGGATTGAGTTATTACAACGTCTGTGACGTACAGTTATTTGTAGCATTTTTCCCTGAATCTCAAACAGTGAACAAGTGCAATAGTCTGGTTTGATCCCTCCGGATGCTCTCTTTCTTCTTCAGTGACAACAGGTGTAGGGAAGAAGATGAACGGCACACCCTGGGGGGTGCCTCCCCCCCCTCCCCACATCAGAGCAGACCCCTAAGGTCCGACATTGCTGCATGTTGTGTGTGTGTGGCTGCTTCTTTATGTTGTGAAGGGTTAACTGTGGCATGGTCCCATCACCAGGCTGTACTAACACTGTTCTGAAGGGTTTGACCGACCAGTTTTTCAATACACATGTTTTACACTTCGAAGAATTCTCTGAAACAAAACCTGGCCTTCATTGAACAAATGGTTTCAATCAATGAATGACAGGTTTATCCCCCATGACAGGTTTATCCCCCAGCTTTTTAAGGAGTGCTGAATGGTAAATACAGTTGTTCTTAAAGAAGTCATTTAAATACTAGTTATTAGACAACAGAGTATTATTGTCAAATGAATCAACTGCGTCGCTCTAGCCCTACTATGTTGTTTATGTTGTTTGGGTGTGCATGTTACTGTGTGTATTACTCTAACAGACGTTATGTCATTAGTTAAGCTGCAGTTTAAAGTTAAAGACAGGCAGTCTGGGTAACTTGGTGTCTTAAAGGTACAGCTCATCCCAGAATCAAACGCCTGTAGGGCCATTTATCAATCTGGATAGTTTTTGTGTTGGATGCAGAGTATTGGAGAGGTCTCCCCCAGCTCTACAATATCATGTAATTAAACATTGTTGTGAGCAGTTTGATGTATGAACTATTTTCCTTCTTCCAAACTACACCTACCAATGACTGAGCTGAAGCCTCTTCTGTGTTGCGCTAAGGAAAAGATGGTGTAGTTTGGTATAAATAAAGTAGTCCCTACATTAAACTGCTCTCAACAAGGTCTTGATTTCTGGAAGGAGACATTGCTGTTGCCTTTGTTTTTGTTTTTGTTGTTGCAGATGTCTTTTCTTTTTTAACACAGAGAAACCACATGCTGAGTGCCATCTAATATTTTGAAAAAAAGGTGGATATCTCCCACACTCTGCCACTCGCACTAAGACAGATTGATTAGAGATAAAAGGAAAAATATGTAATCTATGTTTTTGGGGTGAACCGTCCCTATGAACCTCTGGATTCAGACTGAGCCGGACCTGTTCCAAACCGTAGCTGTGCTAAGATGCTAACTGACAGAGCAAATGCACACAGGGTTCATGTTTTGGTTCAAACATTTGTACCTGTCACCGTATGTCCAAAAGAACTCTGTCGATCTGTGTGGCAGTCTCTCTGATAATACTTTCCCCTGACAGATCCCCAGCTGTAACTGTGGATCATGGAGCCATACAATGGGAGCACCTCTGGAAGAGTGATGTGCTCCCAGTGGATAAAGGACTTGAAGGCTGCATGATGTAGCTAGCAGGACCCCACATCTGACTGAAGGATGAAGAGCCAGCCGCATTAAAGACCGACACAACCTGGGGAGCTTTTGAAGCAGCTATGGAACCGTTTTTGGATTTATGGAATTTATGTTGTCTTTCTTTTCTGAAAAGAAAGTGTTCTTAAAGCATCCTTTTTTTAATCTATGAATTTGCCTTCTTCGACTTGTTAGGCATAGCAAACTCAGGTGTTGGTAGCAAACGGGCACACTACTGTACCTCATCACTGTGACATTGTTGGTAATTGTTGTGTACACTGTTTGAATGTCTTTGTGCCTCTTTCTTAACTTTGGGATGCACGAGATTAGTGGGACTAATGCTTGAAAAAGGTTACTGCGGTTTATTTTTTGAAGAACCTAAAATTAGTGAGATATCTTCTGAGTTAAGGATATCAGGCATAATTAGTTTCCTGGATTTTTACCATGATTTGTTCTAGATTGAGGGGAAACATGCTAAATGTTAGCACACACTTTGCATTAACTGACATCTAGCTGCAGGCAATCTCACAACAGCACTTTATAATTGATCCTGTGTATAATGAGGATTGTGAGCCATGCAGGATTTAAACGGAAAGGTTTATTAACCAGATTGTTTTAAGATGGATTTGAGAGTTGATCATTACTCAAATCTAAAACTAAAGGAAGCCCCTATACAATCTATTAAAACATCATGGTACTACGATTGTTTCCATGGGTTTTGTATTTAGTCAGTTATATATAAACAGACTTTTTGAACATGAACTATCATACACATCCTGAATGATGAAGACACCTCAAGATTTAGTCTTCTGAAAGTTTAACCATTTTATTGGATTTTTTTTTTTATATATAGCATTTGGTTACTGTATTGTCTGACTTCAAAGGCGCAATGTGTGAAATATTGCCAGAAATGTAATTCACCACATTCAAAAAACGGATCCAACAATGTGTAGATATTAGTGTCAAGACGTCCATGTACTGTGTTGCAGATATTTGCTGAAGCTAGCATGCTAACGGACTAGCTGTGCCTGGCTCCTCGAGGTGATGAGTCAGTTTCCAGTCTGTTCTTAAATCAACATGAGGACGAGAAAGTAGAGCTGCTCCGCGCTTGATGTTAAGAGTCTATGTTTTTAAAGTGTGTTCATTGGACTAAATCTGAAGTGGAAGAAAATCGTTTATATTTTTTTCATCTACACGAAATAGTTTCCTGGTTTCAAAGAAGGCGGTGCTGGTGATTCAACCGTTTCTGCTACTTTGGATTTAATACATTAAAGAGACTGTCAAAGCAACAGACCAGTTAGCTAGTCCAGCGCTAACCATACACTGACACCACACGTGAAGATTATGAGTTGTATAGATCCGGTACTTGAAATGCTGCTTAGAGCAAGTGGCCTGGTATTACACATTGCTCTTTTAAAAAAGGTGTATAAAACGTTCCATGTATTATGTTCCTAATGATCTGACCCTGTTTAAGAAGAGCCCTCAGCTCAGCAGGAATGGATCGATAAAAATGTGATGTTGAAAATAAAGAAATGTACATCAGCACCTGGTTTATATCCGGTTACTTCATTGTAATGAGCAAAGTCTACATAATACGAGGCAAACTTAACATATTTAAAGTCAACAGATTTAATATTCTGGAACAGGAAGTCCACAGTGGAATGCAGCTTTAACACACCACATCCCGATGAGGTTTCATCACAGTTACACATATAGGACAGCTGGAGCCTGCCCTAACAAAGCAGGAAGTTCATGTACTAAATAAAGGCGGTTCTTTAAATACACAGAGGAGGAATCAGTCCAGGAGTTCACTGTTCGGTCTTCAGCGGGAGAACTGCCTCTTGTCACCCCCCTTTCCTTTGTTCACATGCTTAAAGACTTTTGACTTTTGCCCAAATTTGGACTTCTGGTATCCAAAGCCACCTCCACCGCCTCTCTTCTGCATCTTTCCTCCTTTACCGGCGTGCACGTCTGGAGAGGAGCCGGATTAAGGGAAACTTCAGCTGTTTATTATACATTTCTATATCATTGCACATGAAATGAGGGATACAGGCCATGACAGACTTAACACATTAAACAAACCACAGGAAAGGATACTCAGATCGACGTATGGAGGAACTTTGAAGCCGAAGGACAGCGCCACCATGGGGAGGTTCAGGGTGTTCACGCTGTAGATCTGTTTGAGCGAGTGGGAGTCGTAAGCCCTCACGTACGACTTGTAGGCCTCCTGCGCTGACTTGTGAAGGTAGTAGTTCTTCTCTATCAGCTTCTCCAGCTGAAGAACAGCAGACAGTGTGTGATTACACTTAAACGGGCACAAAACCATATATACATGTATTTAAATGTTCTAAGAAAGATAAGTTCTCACCTGGGACTGGATGTCAGAGATTTTAGCCCAAGAAAAGTCAAACTCACTCAATGGGACCTGGACAGAAAACGGTGTTCATACGGACATTATTCACCTGACCTCAATATTTGATATTCTATGTATTTGTTATACAAACTACAACACCTGCTATATAGTGATACATATCATTGATATCATGATAAAAGATTTAAGCCCTAGATTCCTAGCCAGCCCTAGTTAGGACAAAACATATCCAAGAGTTAATGTTTGTAAAATGCAATGAACTAAATAGTATGTCAGAAATTAATCATAGCGATTTTGGATTCTCTGATCTTTTTATAGTGACTTGAACAAAGCTTTGGTCAAAATACAAGACAGCATTATGTGAACCCTTATCAGTGTTATATTTTCTCACTTTAAGCACTTTTTGCAAAGTCTAATAAATAGCCATGTAAATAAAGACAAATCCCATTCAAGGACATGACATGTCCAGCAGGAAAGGCATAACAATTGTGGATTTACGTGAGCCTTCAGGTGAATGTTAATGGGGCAGAGAGATGTTACCTTGGCCTGCTTCAGGAAGCGCAGGAAGCCAAGCTCCTCGGGGCGGAGGATCAGCAGCGCGTGGCCCTTGCCGTTGATGCCTCTGGCTGTCCGGCCCACCCTGTGGATGTACTCCTGTGAGGGGGGAGAGGGGGGGGTTGGTAGGCTTAATCGGATTCCTAAAATGTCTTCTTAATTCAAAAGTAAACATCAAGTGTTGAACAATTATTATCATGTGATATAACAAGAGCCGTTTTGATACCTTGGGGTCATCTGGGGGGTCGTACTGGACGATCCAGTCCACCTCGGGGATGTCCAGTCCTCTGGCAGCTACATCAGTACACAGCAGGATGCCCGAGTCAGCGTTGCAGAACTGGAAGAAGGTGGTGGTACGTTTGGTCTGCTTCTGCTTGCCCTGGAAATGAGAAGAAGAACCGTTGTTACTACCGCTGGCTTTGTAGGAGACCGACTCAACACAACTTAATGTGAAGCTACGTGGCGCTTCTTACATGGATGGCCATGACAGGTAGGTCGATGTAGTTGAGAAGTTCGTAGTGGAACTTCACAGACATGCAGGAGGAGAAGAAGACCATGAGCTTCTTCTTGCGGTTCTTCTTCAGGAAGGTGAAGAGCAGCAGGAAGCGCTTCTCTGACGGGCACACCACATAACCCTGAAACATGAGACATTTCTTTAGAGTGCTGCGGAGCGGCAGTACAGCTCTGCGTTCACAGAAACAGCAGCAGAGCCTACCTGCTCCAGGCCGTCCACTGTGGCGTTGTCTTTGTTGTCATCCACGCCCACGTACAGCGGCTCCTTCTTCAGGGAGATACGGGCAAGGTCCTCCACCTTCCGGGTCTGGGTGGCTGAAAACAGCATGGTCTGTCTCTTCTCTGGAGAGAGCAGACAATAGGCAGGGGTTCAGAGACGGCAGGTGGATCAGAGGAACGAGGTCAACACAGCCTGTGATGTGTGTCTTTTTGGATACTATAACACCGTTGTCATGAGTTATCATTGCTTTAGCCTGTCTTACGGGCCGTCTCCACGGCAGCGTTAAAAAAAATCTTGGAGGTGGGCGTATCTGAAGCTTGGGGATTTTTTTGCGATCAACCAATCACATGAATCTCCCGCCCGCGACATACGAAGCCAAAAAGCCCGAAGTAAACTGGATATAAACTCCCCAAAACAGGCGAAAACATACCACTGTCTCTGCCACCTCCCTCCATGCCTGGCTCCTCCGGTTTATATCCCGGTAGGTCTGGTCATAAAGCACCGGGTGATTGATTCGCTACCGCTAATTTCTCCTCCATTTTTTGGAATATGAGGAAATGACCTGCGGTATGTGTCTCCCAGCATACACGCCGTTTGATTGGCTAGAGCTTGAACTGTCAGATTTGCGTACACGGGATTTGATTGGCTGACGCTTCCTCCTCAGCTTCAAAAGTTGAACATTGTTCAACTTTGGATCTTGAAAATCCTGAGAATCTCCGCTCGCCTGCCCACAATGCATTTCGGCGAAAGCGAAAAAAAGTGACGTCACCCCATTCAAAGTGAATGGGCAGAAGCGTTTCAAGATTTTTTAACGCTGCCGTGGAGACGGCCCGTTACAGCCAACGGTGTCATATGAAATATGTCTGTTTGGCAGACAGGGCGGGACATTAGCCGCGTTCACACCAGAGTACTTTTCACCGTACTTTTCGCGTTTAGTTCCGTTAGTACCCCTTATGTCGCGTTCACACCAAAAAGAGCACTTAATCTCTGGGACTTTTACCCCCATTTTTAGTGCCTGCTGAGAGATGGTACTTTCCTGGGGGAAAAAAGTGCCCCAGTTCTGATTGGCTGGGCGAATTGCAAACCACGCCCCGTACAACTCTGAAATGTTTTGTAGAGCCGCCATTTTATTATCCTGGCATTAGCATTATTAGCATTAGCATTCGCCCAGTGCACAAACGCAGAGAGACTAACTTATGGCAACACAAAATAAAACATGGGAGCGGTGGAGATGAGGAGGTGTCGGCGTTCTGGCGATTTACTCTGAAGGCTTCAGTCCCCAACTTCGGGGACTTCTGGCCGGGGACTCCGGGTGGCAGTATACGCCGTGAAGTTGTTTGCGGACTGCCAGTAAAGCCAAAGCAGAAGAAGACGAAGTAACGTCAGCGGCTCATTTGCGTAATCTTCCCTCAGGGAAAAGTACTCCGGTGTGAACGCGATCTGTACTAAATGCCCTGGGGTAATAAGTGCCGGGGCACTGAGTGCCGGTGTCAGTACCATATGTGTTCGCCCTACCATATGTGTTCGGGGTCCGTCGCTTACCAATGACGTCACTCATTGTGATTGGCTGTACGGTAATCGCACGCTGATTGGTGTAACTAGGGGCGCTGACTAGGGTATACCGGGGGTCTGATCAAAGGATGAAGCTGTTAACGTGCTGCTACCATAAACTGGCTGTAGCCTACAAACTGAAGCAGAATGATCTAGGGCTGTCCCGAATACCATTTTTCGGGCTCCGGATATTCGGTAGTAATCAGCAGTGAATATTCGGCCCGCGCGGGGGGGGGCGTAGTAATCAGCAGCGAACCGCTTCAACACGTGTATTTCGGTGTATTCACGGCATTCATTTTGTTATTCTACAGTATTGTTGTTTTATAGTTATTTGTTAATGTAACCCAATTTGTGTTCTTTGAAATTGAAAAGGATATCGCATTGTGTTTGTTACTTTCGTTGCAGTTGTATACGTCTTAAGTGTAATTTGGCTTTGTTTCCTATTTATGGACATGCTTTTATTTTGAAGGAGAGTTAGCGCAGTTGACAGGAAGTTGTTGTTGCTTTGGAAACAACGTGACAGAGATTAACGGAGAAAAGTAATATCTACATATAAAGACGGAGAGGCACAAGCTCTTACGTTGATATTGGAGATTTCAATACATTCAATTTGAAAAAAAACGAATAACGAAATTGAAACCCGAAATAGTACTCCAATGAACGAATATTCGGGTACAATAGGGCTGTACCCGAATACTATAATAAAGTTATAGTAAATAACAAACTCCAGTGTTAGAATTCCATAATTCCATATTCATAAATAAAATGATATGCAAATAACATTTTCTTGGCTGTGGACTTGTACTCTACATAATTATGTTGAGCTCATGGTAATCTAATTCAATAAACAATAACTGCAATGAATAGATAGCATTTTCTGACTCATAAAATGATTGGATATGGTGTAATTTGGTAAATGATTCTGTGTTGAAAAATGTATATCTTTAAAAACTGCGTTGGTGTATTAGGGCGGGCCATACTAATTTTTTTCTTTCAAATAACGTATTTTGGTGTGTAGAACACACATCTATTTAGATTTATTTATTTTGAAGTTGTTGCTATGGAAACAACATGACGAAGAAAAAAGTAATATCTTCTACATATAATAGCGGACAAAGTAAAGAATGAAGTGTATGTTTAAATGTTAGCATCCCCCGAAGAGGCTCAAGCTCTTACGTTGAGTCTGGAGTTTCAATACATTCGGAATTTGACCGTGTAAAATGTCCTCTTGGGTTACCGTACAGCCAATGCGTGACATCATTGGTAAGCGTAACGGACCCCGAACACATCTGGTAGGCCGAACACATATGGTACCTACACCGGCACTAAATACGG